GGAGCATGATAGACATTAGGTTTTAACCCATGCATGATAACATTAGGTTAGTTTGTTTCCCTTCGCAACCGTAGGTTAGAGTTCTGTCTCTTTCTTTCTCAAAATAAACAGAAAAACACATAAAGACTTCAAACACAATAAAAGACACTTCTTCCGTAAAAGAATGTGAACTCATCAAGACGTTATTTTTGTCCGCCGGGACCGTTAATCAGAAAAACCTTTTTCAGAAGGAATAAAATCAACAGACAGGCCTGTGTCTTCCGTGGCCCGAACTACGTTTGCTCTGATCTTCCATGCTGTGTGGAAGTACGTAGGCATAGGATGCGATATCCTAGCGAGCAACCTTCTCCTCCTTTCCCGTAGGTAGGCGAACTACGTTGACTCTGATTTCTCGTTCCAGACGGGAATACGTAGGCATAAAGTGCGATACTTTGCCGAGTCATTTTCTTTTAACCCTCGACCCATAGTTTAGATAGAATAACAATCCATACCCGAAAACAAGCGTGGATCCCGTCGAGTACGACGGACGTGAGGGGTGCTAATACCTTCCCCTTGCGTAACCGACTCCCGAATCCAGGTTTTGGTTGCGACGACCATGACTTTCCCGTGTTGTGCGAGGTTTACTCTGAGCGTTTCCTTTCCCTCCCGTGGGATAAATAACGCACGGTGGCGACTCTTCTGTTCAGCCGGCGCCGATTTTCGCAGTAGCGACAGGCGGCGTTCTACATCCAATCTGCGGTTGATGTGACTAATTTTGACAAAATCGCTTATGTTGAATCAGCAAAGAAGGTGTGGGATATTCTTGTCAAGTACTATGAAGGAGGAAAGCAAGTTAAGGTTGTCAAGTTGCAAACTTTGCGACGACAATATGAATTATTGTCAATAGGATAAGATGAAAAGATTGTAGACTATGTGTCGAAAGTGCAGAAACTCGTTCGTGTCATGAAGGGTTATGGTGAAACCCTAACTAATAAGATGATAGTTGAGAAGACAATGCATATGTTAACCTCTCACTTTGATCATGTTATCGTAGCTATTCAAGAATCCAATAATCTTGAAACCCTAAAACTGGAAGATTTAGTTGGTTCGTTGGAAGCGTATGAGATTAGGATTGTCGAAAGGAAAGGAGTTCAAGACTCAATACAAGCACTACAGGCTTAATAGTGGAAGAATAATGGTGGTTCCAACAAGTTCAAAGGAAAAATCGACAAGACTCAGGGCAAGAAGTCTTGGTCGAATCCTCACAAGAATAAGATCGGTGATAGAACTTCTGAATCCTCGAAGAGAGGAGAAGGAAATTCCTATAGAAAGAAAAAGTAGAGAAAAAAGGTGTGCAGTGTTATAACTATGAAAAATGGGGTCACTTGGCCAAACATTGTTGGTACATGAAAGACAAGGGTTCGAAAAAAGACAAGGATGAAGGAGCAAACCTTGAACGTCAAGATTTAGATGATTCAGATGATATGGTGGTTATGGTTGCAATTGCAGATGACCATGTAGAATATGAGATCTAGTTCTTCGACTCAGGCTGCTTGAACCACATGACTATTCTAAAAGTACGGTTAGTAGATTTTGATGAGTCGAAGAAGAGCAAGGTCAAACTTACTGATAATAGCTTGTTACAAGCAAAAGGTACAGGAAACATAGTTATTCAAAGGAGTAATGAAGCAAAAGCATTGATCAAAGATGTACTTTATGTCTCTAGAGTGAAGTACAATCTGCTAAGTGTTGGACAACTGGTCAAAAAGGGGTTCTCAGTGGTTATGAAAGATGGAGCCTTAGAACTTTTTGACATCTAGAATAACTTGGTCTTGAAATCTCCTATGTCGAATAATAGAACATTTAAGACCATGACCAGTTCGACTGAGGTACAATGTTTAAAAATAGTTGTCGACCACAAGAATAGTTGGTTGTGGCATCTGAGCTTTAGCCATCTGAACGTTAGGTCGCTAAATCAACTTATCACTCAAGATATGGTAACTAGTATAACCAGTCTTGAGATTCTCGACAAACTCTATGAAGGTTGTCTAGTAAGAAAGCAGTCCAGGAAGTCTTTCGTTTCGACTCTGCCAATGAGACCATCCCGCATACTCGAAGTTGTACATTCAGATGTATGTGGTTCTTTTGAAGAGCATACCATTGGTAGAAACAGGTATTTCGTCTCATTTGTCAATAAGTACATTTGAAAGCTCCCGAATCTATGTGATCAAACAAAAGGACGAAGTATTTGAAATCTTTAAGAGATTTAAGATACTTGTCAAAAACCAGGGTGAAAAGAAAATTAAAGTTCTACGAACAGATGGAGGTGGAGAATACACATCCAAGATATTTGAAGCATTATGTGCAGACCATGGTAATGATCATGAGATAACTGTTGCTTATACTTCTCAACATAATGGAATAGCAAAAAAAAAGAAACAGGAGCATATTGGACATGGCGAGATGAATGCTGAAGTAGAAGAATTTTCCAAAATCCTTCTGGGGTGAAGCTGTTTCGACTGCTGTTTATATTATGAACAGGTGCCCTACCAAGAAGCTAAAGAACAAGGTTACTGAAGAAGTATGGAGTGGCAAACGACATCAGTGAGTCATCTGAAGGTGTTTGGCTCTATTTGCTACAAGCATATTCTTGATGTTAGGAGAAGGAAGCTTGATGATAAGAGTGAACCTAAGATTCTGGTAGGATATCATAAGACTGGAGCATACAAGTTGTTTAATCCAATTAATCAGAATATTATGATGTGTCGAGACATTGTGATTGATGAACATTTTTCCTAGGATTGGAATTATAGTAATGCAATTGACATGCCACTGATGAACTATGATTTCGACGAAGCAAGTAATGATGTCGAAGTCGAAGACATTGTTGATGCTCCAGTCGAAGAAGAAGACGAAGCAGTTGCTAAAACTTTCGACATAGTCGAAGAGGATATGGTTGGCACAAGTTAGAGACCCCAATAAACTAGAGCTCGTCCAACAAGACTTAAAGACTATGAAGTGGTTGGTGATGATGAAGTCACAATAGAAGAGGAACTAGTTCAATTTTCTTTACTTATAGGTGTTGAACCAACCAACTATAGAAAAGCCTTCAAAGATAAACAATGGAAGTATGCTATGTTTGAGGAGTTACAAGCAATTGAAAGAAACAACACATGGGAGTTGGTTGAATTTCTAGCTCATACAAAAGTTATTGAAGTAAAATGGGTGTTTAATTTAAAGCACAATGTTGATGGGTCGATAGCAAGACATAAGACGATATTGGTAGCTAGAGGGTTTCTCCAGATAGCAGGACTCGAATACTCTGAAGTATTTGCACTTGTCGCAAGATTTGAAACAGTTCGACGAGTGGTGGCCTTGGCATGCAAGCAAGGCAGGTTAGCATTTCACTTAGATGTGAAATCATCATTTTTTAATGGACCTTTAGACGAAGAGGTGTATGTTGCATAACCTCCTGAGTTTGTGATTCAGGAGGAAGCAAGTAAATTATACAAGTTGCACAAAACGCTCTATGGACTCAAGCAGGCACCTAGGGCATGAGACACGAAGATCGACTCATACTTGGTTGAATTGGGATTCGTAAAATGCAAGTCTGAGTATGTTGTATATTTTCAGGTTGTGGCACAAGATATAACAATAATCTGCTTATATGTTGATGACGTTCTAGTAACTGGAAGTAGCTTGAAGAACTTGTCGAAGTTCAAAGAGCTGATGAAAAAGGAATTTGAAATGTCGGATCTGATAAAGTTGTCATACTTCCTAGGCATGGAATTTGAAATGTCGAAGCAAGGCATGGTATTACATCAAAGAAAGTATGTAAAAGACATACTCAAGAGATTCATAATGGATGATTTGACTCCTGCATCTTCTCCTATCGAACCAAATTTAAAGTTGGAGAAGCATGGAGAGGAAGACAAAGTCGATGCAAATTTGTTCAAACAGATTATTGGATCTCTGAGATATGTGTGCAACGGTCGACCTGATATATGTTTCTCAGTTGAATTAGTGGGCAGATACATGAGTGAACCAATGGTGTCACACATGAAGGCTGCTAGAAGAATTCTGAGATACTTCAAAGGATTGACAAACTATGGAATTTTATTTCGACGAGACTCTGAAAGCAAATAAGTTATGGTTACTTGTTATTCAGAAGTACTACTGGGTATTTTTTTCAAGTATTTGGTACCCCAATTTCATGGTGCTCGAGAAAGAAACTTGTGGTGGCATTATCATCGTGTGAGACTGAATATATAGCAGGATCCTATGTTGCGTGTCAAGTAATTTGGATCAGATATGTGCTTGAAGAAATGAAGGTCGGAGTGAAGAAACCTCTGGTATTGCATATCGACAACAAGTCAGCCATAAATATGCTGAAGAATCCAGTTTTTTATGGAAGAAATAAGCACATCGAAGCTAGATTTCACTTCTTAATGAAAAAGGTGAATAAGGTGAACTTGAAGTAAGACATTGCTCAAGTGAAGCACAATTGGTCGACATTTTCACCAAAGGATTAAAGATTGACGTGTTCCTAACTTTGAGAAAGAAATTAAGAATAGTTGAGATCAACAATGATTAGTGTGTTTCGACAACTTAGATTATGGGGGTATGTTAAGATATTAGATATAATCCAAGTTGTATTATATGGCGCAAACCCAAAGCTAATTAGGGTTTATGATTTGTTATTTAGTTTGTTATTTTAGTGTATATAAATAGACACTTTGTAATTCAATTTTATTTAAATCAATAATATTAATTTTTATTTTTTTATTTTCTCTCTTTTTCTCTTAACTAAACGTGTCTTACGCACTAACAGATTTTAAAGCAATTACTTAAAAGAGAATTATAATTTAAACAAATGTAGTATTAATATTGCTGATTGTAAATAACAAAATGCGTCCATCAAACATCATGGACAAGAAGGAGTCGAGAACAAAATAAACATAATTATTCAAAGGAATAACACAAATCTAAGGAACCGTAAATCATAATTGTGTAAATTAAGTCTAAGCAAGGATCTCATTCAGAGATTTGGCCTCAAGTTTTGCTTTCTGTAGGTCCCTAAGTTCTTTTTCCTCTTTACCCATCTTCTTCATCCTAGCAATCTCAAGATCCTTGCTCATCTTCCTCCTGTACATTTCAGCAAAAGTGATTGGTTCCTCCATCACAGATTCCTCTCCTTCTCGAATCTTCAAAGGGTACACAGTTGCATCTGGTGCTGGATTCTGGAATGTTGCAATGGATAAACGACTGTAGTTTGAATTCACCACTGCTTGATGATCAGCGTTTCTGAACCGTCCATTACTCAAATACTGCATGCATATGAAAGTTCTTTCAATTTTTTAAGTTTTGTTTGTTACCGATATTCTATAAAGAAATTAAAAAGTGTACTCACATGGCCATGATCTCCAATATTGACAACAAAAGCACCTTCAACTGGTTTAACAGTAATCCACGTCTTACCATCATCTCTAGTTGCTTGAAGACCACCCACTTGATCTTGAAGCAACAAAGTGATGGTGCCGGGGTCAGTATGTCGTTTCAGCCCAAGAGTGAGATCAGGTTCAGGACATTTTGGGTAGTAATTCACCACAACCTTTTGATCCATATCAACACATGCTTTTGTTAAAGCTTCTTTCTCTAACCCCATAGCCTCCGATAGAACTTCCAATAACTTGCAACCTAAACTCATTAGCATCTCACTGTATTGCTCTGTTACCTCTTTCCATCCTTCTGGCTTGTTTGGCCACCTTGAATAGTCTCTTTGACTAATTGGGTATGAAAAGTATATCATTATCTCTCTCCAATCCTTCACTGCTTCTCCCTGTAAAATAATTTCATATAAGTTTAACACTCTGGATTCATATATATTTTACTAAAATTTCAACAGTGTATAAAATTTGTTTATTACGTACTTGGAGATGACTGGAGACGTTGAAGCCACCTCTTTTACCACCGGACATGTCAAACTGAAGCTTCTCTTCTGATGACAAATCGAAGAACATTTTTGCAAAGCGGGTCATCTCAGAAATGAGGTTTGAGTCCACACCATGATCAACAACCTGGAAGATACCCCAATTCTCACAAGCTTCGACAATCTTCTTACATATCTCTGTTCTACGGCCATCAACATCGTCGATTCCGGCGAGAGAAATGATTGGAATGTCATTGCTGAAGTCATTGTAAGAGACTTTTGGACGCTCGCTTTCGTCGCGAACGAAACTGGACTGGAGGGTTTTTTCTTGAGAAAGATGATCGAGAGTTCTCGCGGGTGCCATTGTTTGTTTGTATGAAAACTTGGAAATTTCTCTGTTTTCTGTGTTATGCTATGTGTTTGAAAGATTGGAAAGAAAATGGTTTATTGTGACTGAAGGAAGATATTGCATCTTATTTATAGGATTTGTGATGGCTATTTTTAATGTTTTTTAATTAACTTGCACTTATTTATTTATTATTTTATTATTTTCACTGTTTTCTATTTTTGCAACAAAGATATTGCTACACTGTATAAAAGGCTGTTTTCTGAAGAAAAAAAATTCGTCAAAATGTCTCAAAATGGAAAGTCTTCCTAAACTCTCTTACTTTTCCATTATTTTAAGAGCTGTCTTTATTGGGAGAATTTTTTTTGGCTGTTTGTGTCATATTTGGTTGTTCAAAATTGCTACATTTCTTTCTTTTTTTTTCTTTCTAAATTGTTACATTTTTTATTGGATTTTCTAAATTGCTACATTTCATTTAAGCAATCTTTAAATAATTTCAAGTACTTTAACTTCAATAATAATTGTAACTAAATAACATAATTTTTAACTCCATCAATTTATATTATTTTATTTGTAATACATTTTAATTACCACTTTTTAAAACTAAATTGATTAAAAAATAATAATGTTTAACATTAAGTTCCTCGCTTTTTCATATTGCTTCACCAAATACTATCCTTTAAATTTAAATAATTGATGAAGTAAAGTTATCACAATTCAATGATTTTAGACAATAAGTAATAAAACTTATGGATTAAGAAATCACTATGTTTTTACTATTTGTTGTACCCCAAAATTTGCCCAACCTTTTTCTTTACTTGACTTATGTTTCATTTCATTCTTTAGTATTTGCATCTGCATAGCTTTTACTTTTGCAGGGGATCAAGGGAGGTGTGTCATCCAAGAGAAGAGTTATCAAGGGTTTCAAGCTCAAGCAAGAGTGGTTACTCAAGGTATCTAGTGCTTACAATCATCAAGAAGTGGTCAAAGTTCTCTGAGAGAGAAGATTGACAAGTGTGGCTTACCTCCTATCTTGGAGGTCAACTGAAGATCATTAGGGGTTCTCAAGGCCATGGTTATGCACAAGAGATGTTGGAGGAGCTCATTGAGTGCTTTGAAGTCATGGAGGAGTTTATCCAAGTGGTCATATCATTTGCAAGAGAGTGCAGTCAAAGTTTGTGCATCTAGGGTTTCATCTGCTTAGTGCAAAGTCAACTAAGGACTTAAAGGAGGTTGAGACTTGGTTTAAGTCATTGGAGTCATGGGAAGTCATGTTGAGACATCTAGTATGTTATTTCAAGTTCAAACCAAGAAGAATCAAGAGTGTGAGAAGTTACTAAATTAGGGTTTCAAAAGGTTGTCAGTGTAAAATCCCCTATTTAGTGCCTAACTTCAAAACCACATATCTCAAGATACATGTTGAATCTCATTTTCTTATAAACATGAGACTTGTAGTTTATGTTCTAAGCTTTCTTTTGAGTACTAGAACTCATCCATTGGGTTTGTGAAACTCAAGTTATGATGCCATCAAGTTATGGGTCTCAGATGAACATCTTTTTCAGTCAACAAAATTCAACTCACTTCCAAGGAACTTTTGACCTAGAATCATGTTTCTCCTCAACTTTTGATGAACATGAAAGTTATTCCTCATGATCTTAGCTTTCCAAAAAGTCCTAAAAGTCCCTTATATCATTTGTGGAACTCAAGTCATGAAGCTTGCAAGGCAGGGGTATTCTTGGAAACTTTGATTATAGGTCATTTTAATTATGGGTCATTTACATACACTTGTGCACTTCAAATGAAACTTTCAACAACATGAAAGTTGCTCTAAATGACCTCGATTTCATCATGAAACTCAAGTTTGGCTTGAATTATGCATGGTTAGAGACATCGGTGAAGAAATTTCAAATAAAAATGAGCTTTAAATCATGAATTCAATTGATCAAGTTTTAGGACTTTTTCATACCACGTTTGTATTCAAAATGATTCATAATGTACCAACAAACAAAATGCACAAATTTATTTTGGTGTATGAAGTGAAAAACACGTGGAAATGAAGGTTGATTCACAAAGAAGTTTCACATCCAAACTTGTTAAATGGATCACAATCAAGCCCAATTCCAACCCACATGTGTAATTCAAAGTCTCAGCTGAAGAATGGAGCAAAATTCAAGTGTGTACATAACCATATTCACGTGTGCATGAGCACATGCCATTTTTGGGCATTTTTGCAAATCAGCCAAACCAAGCCACATTGGGCCTCCAATTCATCAAATATCCATAATATAAAAGTTCAAAGTGAAAATTGAGAGCTCAGAGGGTGAAATTCGTGGAGGGGAGAGCAAATTCAGTTTTTAACTTCATGAGAGAAATTCAAAATCGTGAACTCAGATCCAAGGAAATTCAAAGCAAATTGAAGTGATATTCTTCTTCCTCAAGCTATTTGGAGTTGATCTGCACGTTTGCAAGCAAGCTAAGCATCAATTGAAGCACCAACGGAGTGTCTCCGTTAGGTGATATTCAATTCCATATTTCTCTCATGTTAGGCACTGAATCTAGGTCATTATTGGTGCATCTGAAGTCCTACATCTTGTAGGCAATGTTTGACATCTTAATTTCTATGTTTGATGAGTTTTATAGTTGAGCACTTGAAATTTTCTCTGTTTGAATCTCTCTGTTTATGCATGATTAATGAAATTGAACCATGGATTCATGATCTATGTGAGAAAACCTTCAATTTGCTATAAAGTTTTGCTTGATTTGGTGGAGTTTTGGAACCTGAACTCCGGTCACCTCGCCGAAGAAGACGACCGGAGCTAGGGCTCCGGCGTCTGGTTCAAACTCAGGTCAGTTGAGTTGGGTTTGTTTGAATCTTTGACCGGGCTTGATGTGTGGCTGTGATTTGTTTAACTATGTGATGTGGCTGAGTTGAATTCCATGTCAACTAGTGAAATGGTGCATTTCACATTGGGGATTAGCCTGATTTAGTTTGGGCCTTGGCTGCTGTTGGCACCCCCTCTCTGATCCAGTCCATGGTTTGAACGTGTATTTCTTGCTATTTGCACCGTTGGCCTTTTATTTGCTTATTTTATTTCTTTTTAATTCTGTTTTCATTTTAAGTTGTTAAAAATATCTCCAAGTGTCATAAAATTTCCTAAAATATATTTTCTAATACCTTAGGGTGTTAATTAACTTTTTATATTTTTTAATTTCATTTTCCTTTTATTTTTCAATTAAATTGGAATTTTACAAGTGGAGGTATTTTTAATGGTTTATTTTGTTGTTCATATTTGTTTCATGCTTGATTGTTGACCAATGTGTACCTCCAATGAGTGGGACTTTTTCCTCATTTGAATGATGAGTTAAGGGGTCTTAGAGGATAGTTTTAGCTCTGGTTTGATTTATTTTTGGTTGACTTTCAAGTCCATTTGTTTGACCCTCAATAACCCTCCTTCAAAATGGGGCCCCCTTGTGGATCAATTCCTATGGTGATGTTTTGAATGGACTATGGTTTTGTGCTTTTGGCCTCTTGTTGCAAACATCCTTATGAGCTTTTGGTATTTTATTTGGATTTAAATTATTTTCCTATTTTCGGTGTACCTTGCAAGTCAAGCTACTCCTAAGGATGGTTCACACACACACTAGACCTAGTTTTGATGAGAAATGACCCTTGTGGATCCCAAATGCTTCCAACTCCTCTTGATTCATATTCTTAACATGTTGAAGTAGTTGGTTGTTAATTTTTAAGTCATAAAGTTGTTTGGTTCTTGTGCTAAGTTGCATTCTTTTTAGGCCTTCCATTTGGTTTCAAATGTTGAAAGTGTTTAGGACCTAGGTCCTTTACCATGCATATTCTTGCAACTTGCTTTGGTGTGTTTTCTTCTTTTCTTTGTGCATTCATTTCTCTTGTTCTCACCTTTGTCCTAGGACCTTTGAGTCACATTTAAGATGATTTGGTCCCTCCTTTGGAGGTACTTTGAGTTTGTCTTAAATGGTGATTCATTTTGAGAACTTTTGGTATGCTTCTTTTGCATGATCATTGTGATGCCTATGGTTGAGTTCTCTTTATTGTTGCTTGCTGCCCAAGCCTTATCTCCCACCCTCATCTCGATCATGTATTCTCTTCTTGCTTTTTTGCTTTGCCTTGGTTAGTGATTGATGTACAAGTGGTTGTAGGAATTCTATTTCTCCCACTTCTCTCACTTTTGGCTTGAACTTGTTTAAGTTCTTTGGTCTGCTTTTCTTTTTGGTTTTGCATCATCATCTTTGCATGCTTGAGGTTGAGATGTACTGGTGGTGGCTACTACCCCATACTTTGTTCCTCCCTCTTTCTTCATCTTTGTTTTGCATTGCATGTTTGCATCTTCTTTCTTCTTTCACTTATGCTTTCTTCTTCTTCTTCTTTCTTCTTTGCCATGTTCCCTTAGGACCTCTAATCTTTCTTTTTCAAGATTGATTATGATAGACTTTAGTTTTGAACCCATGCATGATAACATTAGGGTAGCTTTCCCTTTTCATCCCCAATCATAGGTGCACTTTGTATGAGAACATTAGGTTGAGTTTAGTCTCCCTTTAGTGTGTCTTTCTCTTCTTATCTTCAAACTTCTTCAAGACATTTAATAATGGATAATGAATGTTGTACACTACAAGCCTTAAGCATTTGGGAAATGATGATTGGGGGGCCTCCTCTCAATTTTCTAGAGTGTTTAGCGTATGTCCTTTGGACGATATGCGACGCATTCGCCCTAAGTCATAGTCTTTAGTGCAACGTGAATTACAAATCAAATTCAATTCACTTCTTTCTTAAAAGACTTCAAAAACAAACATCAAATCTTTTTATCCTTCAGGATTAATTGGAAACCTTTTTCATAAAGAGAGTTTTGGTAACTCTTGGTTCTACCGCAAACAGGTAATGTCTAAGTCTCCAATGGTCGAGCTGCATACACCTAACTGCTAGAACTAAGTTTTAACCCTACACGGGTAAAACACTTGAACCAACATGTGGTCTTGTTAGCTCG